GTCATTTTCCTATGTTCATCAGTTGTTCACAAGTTGCTACCGAAACTAAAGAATGAAAGGCAAACTAAACCCATTCAGTTGCTAATTTACCCTACCATTACTGTCTCATAAATAATAATAATAATATGCAAAACAGAAGCGCTTCTTTTCACATAAAGCTATATTCGGTGGTCACAGGCTTACCTTTTCGTGTCGTTGGTGACTAGAAGCTGCAACCCGTTGAAGACTACATTAAAGCTAGTATACTTACACGCACTTTTACGAATATCTGTAGCAAAAACTTTAGTAATGCATTGCGAAGAACTGATGAACTAATTAAAATAGGTAGCGAACGATCGGCTCGTTATTTGATGGCCGCATTGCATGGTCACGACGCGTACCTTTTCCATTGGAGAATACGTGAGGGATCGACTTTCGTTAACGCACGTATGCCGGTCACAAATCCATGCGCGTTCGGAATATCGTCTACAACGACGAGCAAGTCTAAGTATATTGTTAAGAGAATTCACACCACTATAAACCCTTTCCACAGAGGCCATTCATGAGGTCTAAAGCGTTATTACGCAACTGATCGGCATGATCTGGTCGCTCAGTGCTGGTTGATGCTACGAAAGAACATTCAGGCGAGCCGTTACTCTCCCAGACTATAATAAAACCCTGCACAACGGCTTTCCCTATATATAGAAAACAGAGCAGAGTGGAAAAATCCAAAAACGATAAGTATCGAAAACAGGAAGCGCTAAAGTAGCAGAACATTCTCTGACCAACCTGACCTCACTGATTAGTTGCAAACTAACGCCCCCATTCCTACTCCAGTCTTATATACTAACCCTAATGCTAATCTAAGAAAAACGCTACGAGCAACTCAAAACGTTGAAGAATCATCGAATAATCGAAATAGGTGATCTATGGAAACTCTTTGCCCAAATCTAGAGGCTGTCAGTTTTAGCAGAAATTCTTTGTCAAAAATAATCTGTTCCCGTTAGTCAAGCATTTTTCGTCTACTAGTTACTGCAATAGCGTTCCCAAATCTTCCTCTTAAATTATGTTCAACTTCATGAATAGAGCCCGGGTCGTATACACGATTCATGACCAGTCCTACCTTGAACGACTCTTGCTTCGAGTCTTGTCCTTCTTTCTTTTCGACGAACCGTTCTCCTTATCTTTCTCGGCTGCTGGGGTCTCCTTGGTATCAGTGCTCACTGTCTGCAAAAAGAAAATTAAACCACTATATCACCACGTGAGAAATAAATAAGTAAAATGTTTCCTGTCAGATTCAGAGGTGAACCTAATACTGCTCTGCTTGCATAAAGATTTTGCCAATTTCTAACATTTTATGTTTAAGAAAATTAGGATGTTCTCGCAGAAATTCACAAAGAAAATCCAAATGAAGAACTTA